ACAAAACAATGTGGTGGGAGGCTTGAAGCCTTGATCCTAGCAATCACGAACAATCAATGATTGACATTAATTTATTTCCTAGTAATATGACAGATTCCTTTGTGATCAGAAAGAAAAGATATAGGAAGAGGCAAACGGAGAGAGAGCCATCAAAGCAAAGACAACACCCTGGCCGCATTCATAGAAGTCGATGCAGCAACCGTAAAAGAGCCTCTAGACTCATCAAAACAAACAACCCATAGACAACATTCAAGCCAGAACAAAAGAAGAGCATCATCGACTTTGATCACAGCCAAGGAAATAGCGTTCAGGAGGAAAAAACAGCAGAGCCTATCTAGTATCTACCCAATGGCCGGTCGAGATCGAATCTACAGCTCTGCTTCTTTCTCTACTACTACGAGTCTACGACCGACCTCCTCTCCTCTCCTCTGTCAAAGGGTTTCAGTTTCACCACTACGTCAATTAACGATTTTGGATAGTTTACAACTGGGGAGAGAATCGAGCATCTGTTTTAATTTGGATACGCACTGCAAACAAGGAGAAATGATATTGTTTTCCTCTTTCGTAGTGGAATTTCAAGCTTGTGTGTGTCAAACAACTCAGTCTCCCCGCGTTAATTCACTCGATTATTCCATGTTTTGTGACCAACAAATTGAAAATCAAATGGACATGGGAACTCACAATCAATATTGTCAACTTAAACGGTATTGGAAGTATTTTTATTTGACTATCAAAAAAACGACATTAGAAGAAAACACATCTAGTTTCAAATGGACATGGGAACTTACTATCAATATTGTCAACTTATACGACATTGGAAGTATTTTTATTTGACCATCAAAAAACGACATTAGAAGAAAATACTTTTAGCGTCTGTTTGGCATTGATGCCGTTGCTTCAAAAAACGGCGATACATCAGCGTTACATCGGAAAAAACATACTCCAAGCCACACTTTGAAAATCAGGAAGGCGTGGCTTAAAGCAATGTCGAATTTGGCATTTCCTAGAACTGCAGCTCGTTGCTGCCAACAAAGACATGAGGTGGTAGTGATAGGGACATGACATGACACTGGATAATAGGTACCAGTGCTGATCAAAACATTTTTTGGAGCATTGGTACCAACTAAAAAACGTTGTTGTTGCTCCAGGAAACGTTCTACCTGGCAACAACATTTCCAAACAAAAAAATAAAGACATCGTTTTCTCAAAAAACAGTGTTTCCAACCCACACATCAGCAGCACTGTATCTGCAGCATCGAGCCAACCATATACTTAGTTAATTTTTATCAATGCAAAGGAGGAGTTTATGAGTTTATCTTCACTCCTTCCAGCCACCCTTTAATTAAGGGTGTTCAATGGAATGCAAAAATCCGATTTTGAATTCGAGATTTGATGTAATCGAATTGAATTTGGATAATTTGAATATCTAATCAGTCGAATTCGGATATCTTATTTATATAAATTAATTAATCATATTCGAATTTAAATATGACTGATTATTTAATTCTTATATATAATATATAAAATACTTAATTTTTTATATAATTTATATATATAATAATTAAATTATATAAATAATTTATATATTTCTATATTTTATATAAATAAAATATTTATTAATTATCTAAAATAATTAATTGATCGAATCAAATATTCGGATATTTAATTGAATTTGATTTGAAATATTAATTTTCAATGTCCATAAGATATCAAATTATTTAACCAAATTCAAATTCAGATATTACATAATTCAATTCGAATTAGTTCCATTCACACCTTACCTTCAATTGTGAATATGTGAGCTCAAAAAGTCAAGCTTTAATGCAATGTTGGGTGCGTGTTCGGTGGGGTGCACGGAAGGATGATTGATTGCTAATTAGCCCCTAGGTCAGCCAAGCCATTGAAGTAACCTTAAAATAATTAGGGAAAATATATAAGAATCATCTAGAAGTCAAATTGTTTTGAATGGAAGGCAGATGCGGCATGTAATTTTCATATGGTTCATCAATATCAAAAGCAAAAGCTATTGGGGTTCCAGTATTGGTTATATTAATTTCTACCCATTTGCTTAACTAGTAATATTTATTTTAAAACCTTATATGTTACCATCTCCATTACATTTAAAAAAAAAAGTATGGAGAAATAAATCAACAAGATATCATACGATGATATCAAATGTTAGAATCTACCTCATGAATATTATGAGGCCAATAGTATATACCATTGGGTTGAAATATGAAATCAGTAACTCAAATTTGATTTGATTTGTTTAGACTTTGAACTATTTGGGAGACACCGACTAGGTTTTACATTAAAGGAGTCAAACCTACATAAGTATATAGTATGACCACAGATGTGCGGCTCCAATTCGTGGCGGATAGAGAGCGGGTAGGAAAAGTGAATAGGAAATCCCAAGTGGAGAACAAGCTTGAGACATGGAGTTCAGATCTCCTATCCACGAGAACTCTGCCCACGTCTATCCACAACACATTACCTCTCGTGAATTGGGAACATCTCCCCCTGCATAATACTATGCAGAGGATGAGATGTTCTCCATGTGTGACTGCAATAAATGTGGGCAGGAGATCGGGACTCTGAGACATGACATATATCCTTCAAGAAAAAAGCACAATGGCACTTCCCAAACTCTCTACACACACCTTCTAGCTCTCCTACTTTCTAGTTTTCTTACTCTCCAACTTTCCAAACTCTCTAACTTGCTTATCTATCGACTTGAGCATCAGAGTGCTCCTCCCTCATAAGGGTGTCATCAGATCCTCATCAGCTCCTTAGGGCACTTCTTTTACTACCACTCATTCATCTCGGTTCGGATAACATCAGATTTATTTCTAAAAAAAATAATTCAAAACAACAATTTTCTCTTGTTGTGTGGTAATATTATTCATTTTCCTAAATGTCAGGAACTTCATTATAATATTTAAATAAGCCAATTAGAAATCCATTACAATAGACTACTTGATTTTGTATATCTATCATTTTGAGATCAACAGGAAGGACTTTTCTATGTGAAGCTTGAACCCAAGGAAGTTTTGACTTTGAAACATATATAGCAAGAGGCCTAAGGGAAGTTAGTAGTTCTCCTCAAACAATTTTTGTTTCATAGAAAGTCCAATGAATACATTAGAAAATATGTGAAAGAATTGCCAACAAATAAATACCAAACAAAGGGCTCTCAACAAAACATGGTTAATTCCTGTGTGATAGGTTTAATTAAACTACCTACAAGATTAATAACAAAACAAATCTCTAGTTATGTTAGATTTGCATTCAAAACCAATAACTTAAAGAATATTGCAATCTAAATTATTGAAAAACTTGGGAGAAGAAGAATAAGAAGGAAAACCTCCTAAAAGACATCCAAATTATCAATAAAAAGTTGAAAACCTTTGTAGGACTTTCACGGCAGATTGACAGAATATCAACACTAAACTCTCTACAGGGTTTTATTTTAGTACACTATATTATGTTTCGATATGAAAAATTCAATAAACTGCTTTATTATTATTATTATTATTATTATTATTATTATTATTATTATTATTATTATTATTTTGTGTATTTGTCACTTTGGTTGTATCTCATTAGACATAAGAAGTGAATCAATTGGGATAGATCAATACCATTTTTAATCACGATTTCTTTAATTTCTTTATACTATTGTACATTTATATCAATCCAATTTTATGTGATTATGTACTAAACTCACAATTCTCACTAACATATAACTCTCTTTTAAAATAACATTTAAGTGAAGAAACTCCACTTATGTTCAACTACTAAACTCAGGTTTTATTTTAGCATGAAAAACATTCCTTACATTAGCTTTAATTTTTGGGGAGTACAGCTGAAGCTAATAATAGTTAGTGATCTATATATGTATCATCATAAAACCCTATATATTGCTAAATTTACAGCACAAACAGATCCCATTGATGTTGATCAAAAATAATGATCTGGCATACGTGTTGATAAGTAGAAAACAATTATATACTTAGATTAGGACAATTAATTTAGAACAAAATTTTACAAATAAAGAAATCAATTTAGTTTTCCATTAAGGAGGAGGAGAGATACCTAATACACAATGATAAGAAGCATTTGATCTACTACCCACACTTCATTTATCACTAATTAAATGCAAAATGGAACTTGAACATCAGTACGTAGTAAGGAAGAGGATTATGGCATTCACAATAACCAAAAACTATGTACTTGAGCAATAATTCAACTTTTGTCATTAATTGTTGTCTTGTATTTCTACTGTTCCTTGTGCAAATAAATTTGGGAAGTTCCAATCAAAGGTTCTTAATCAAACTCACCCAAAGAGGGAGAATTCAAACCAGACTTAAGTTTGGGTAAGGTAAGGCTCAGGGATTACACTTATATACCAGCCTTATCCAGCTTTTATCCCCTGGGCCATTCACAGCCCTTTGTTAATAAATTTGATCCTCTGCAGCTCAAACTGGAGTTGCTCACTCAGTCACTCTTGGTTGCATGCATCTCATTTTTTGGAATTTGGTCTGGGACCAGCAGGACAAAGCACAGGCATGTGCACATGCTTCTTCTGTCTTCACTGGTTGTTTTGGCGTCCGGATGAGACCTAGATTGGTCCTTTATGAACTGTGGGTCTATCCAAACACACCCACAAAGAAAGAGATAAAAATCAGCCAAAAACAAGTACAAGAACATACATGCAGTCACCATTGGAACTATCCACTCACAACACAAATCAGAGTAACCATGTTCGTTACTTAGTCTGCAGAAGATGCATGTCAACCTCTTTGATTCAGTATATTTGTCAGGTATAGAAGCAAAGAGGTTACTATATTGTTAGTACAATCTACAACATAAACAGTGGTACCAAGAAGGGTGTAGACAGGTGGTTTTCTGTACTCAACACTGAATCTGCATTGATTAAACATAAAATTTAATTAAAAGTTTTTGAGTGAATGATGTCTGAATGAATTTATTCCAAACTCTTCAATGACAGCAATTCTCCATTTATTCAAGAGATGCAGTTTTAGGGTTTGCACAATTATTTAAGGGAACAGAAAGCCCAAAACCACAGCTTTCATCAACACTATCAGATGTAACAATAACCAACCACAGAGATTAAACACCCACATTTGCAACAATAAATCTCTCTCGCTTTTATATTACTATATATACCCAACCCTTCCCCCCTGAAACAAAACAATAAGAGTGAAAAAAAAAAAGCAGAGAACTCATTAGTTCCCCAACTGATGATATATCTTCTTTGAGGACTGCAATATATGAATGTATCTCTAATAACTCGGCCCCTTGCCCACCACCTAATGACAGATACACTAGAAAGAAATGCAATGTCATGCTTATATACATACAAGAAAACCAACTTACTAGACCAGGAAATGCATCCAAGTGCTGTGAAGGATCCTTCCCAAGAAACCTTTCGGCACTTGAGCTAATGACAGCAGCGATGCCGGAGACGATGAAAGGAAGATGATCCGAGGTTCCTCTCAGAGCAAACAGTTTGTGTCAACCACGAAAACAAAAATAACAGGCTGTGGTGTTTGCAACTGAGATGATCGCTCCGATCCAATCTCCTCCCTTTGTAGTAGCTTTCATGCCAACTTTGTTGCTTCTGAATTTCCATCCGTTGTGGCCATGAAGTTCACTACAAGAAGAACCCGCAGAAAACCTACCTAACTAAGAAGACCCAGATGATTGTAAACTGTAAAGAGAGAGGATGTCTCATCAGTATTCTCAGATCAAATCAAAGAAGTGACTGAAGATCCGAAGTTGTTGAGATAAGGCCAAGCACCAACAGCCGTTGAGTTCCAATATAGGGATGGATCGGCAGTCGATCCAATTGGTTCAATCGTATTCTGACAAGGAACATTCCAATCCACCTTGTTGTTCATTCTATCGTTCCCTTCTTCCATCTTCACTTCTTTCAATACAACACCCAGATCGCCATTCCCATCCATTTGTAGATCTTCAAAGGGTAACAAGGCCTGAAAATTATTAGCTGGTCGCCTCTCTTTCAGACCACCCAAGATCAGTTTTTGCTGCTGAAGACTAGAAGCCAAAAGAGAAACTGTTGATGTAGAAGATGACGATCCAAGAAGTGATGAGTAGTTTGAAAGAAGAGAAGTGGAAGTAACAACGTCTTGGATTTGAGTAGCAGGATCGAACCCAGTTCGGTATTCGTCGCCATGTGTATCAGCATTCATTGTAGCCGACGGGAAGCCCAGTCCGAGAGCATTCAATTGAGGCAGGAGATCGTAACCAGCACATGATGTCGGCTTGCTCTCCATGTTAGAAACTCTCGGGTGGAAACTCGGGAATGGAAGATTCATGTCAGAAGGATTACCGGAAAGGCCGTAGAATAAAGGACTAGTAATGTGGTTGGAAGCGGTGGATACATCGACACGAGAAGGGGGAGGTGGTGGTGTTGGTGGAGTAGTTTGTGATGATGAAGAAGCTTCAGTGGTTGGTGCAGACCTCTTCACCCTCTTGTTCTTCCTGCACCCACCGCCAACTGGAACATTACGCAACGTTCCGCCTTTTGTCCAGTAGCGCTTACAAGCTTTGCAGAAGTGTCTGGGCTGAGATAAGCTGTAGTTGTTGTAGTAACAGAATTTGGTGTTGGATGAATCGCAACGAGGACATTTCAGAGCCTGATCTGAACCTGGTTTCTCCATAATTCTAACACTTGAAGCCATCAATCCTGTCTCATCCACTTTCTGCACCAGAGAAAAAAAAAGAAGGATACAAGGCGGTCCGAGAAGTAAATAACAAACCCAACCAAAATATTCTTGTCCAAGAGCTAAGAAACAAAAATAGTGATGTTATGTACAAAATAATTGAGACCCTGGTGCGTGTTTGTGTGTATGAATGAGAGAGAGAGAGAGAGAGAGAGAGAGAGAGAGAAAGACCTGTGGCCAGTCGTTACTGTTGGAAGGGATGCCCATCTTCTCACAAGGACCCAACAGTCCTTCACTCAATGGAATCATTGAAACAGAGAGTAAACAGACAAAGAGCAGTTGGCGACGTGAGTTCTTGAGGACGAGTTGAATTGAAATGGGAAGGAACGGAGCAAGAGTGATAAATGGCAGAAGAAAGAACCCAGGCGGAAATTAAAATTATTTAATTTACATCAAAACCAGATGTCAAGGGTAGAATATAATGGATGAAAATCAAAAGGCGAGATTATAATTAGTATTAATTAATTTAACTGATCACCCTGCTCCAAACTCCAATCCAATAACCAAGAACAAATCACAAGGAGAAAGAAAGAATATTACAGACTTCAAAATTCAAATCACACTACGTAACATTCCTTTGCACTTGCATTATTAATGGGGTCCTAGAAAGAGGGAATCCCTAGGGACCAAGACCCGAGGCAGTGAGACAGCAAATCCCACAAATCCCCACTTCCTCTTTTAATGCATTTTTTTTTAATAATCAATTATCAAATCAAATCCTAACCCTAAAACATGATATCCAAGATGATCCATTAGCACAGCTGCAACTCTACAACCCACTAGAGATATGGATTGGACTTTGGAGGTTTCACTTTCAGAGCTCTTAGTTCTAGCTAGACCCGAATGGTTAAGATTCTAAAGACTAGATGACCATCAGAGCCTCTGGTAAGTGATTCTACTGTCGGCCAGTTCATATGGGTAGACTGCAGAGACTGTCCCACTTGTTATAATTTATTCAAATAGGTGTGGCCCGCCATGGATTTTTATTTTTTTGGGCTAACCAGCTCCATTGGGGAATATAATGATCAAGCCGAATAGGGTTTGGGTTTTGATTGTGTTGGGTCAAGGCCATCTGAACCGACCCGGTTTAACCCGAGCTTAGATACAGATATTGCAAACTCCAAGAAGAAAGGGACAAAGAGACACCATGTGGGGCGTCTACACTACATCTCATTCAGGCCCCTCAAAGGATGAATGAAAGACCAGGCTTTATGCACCAGCTGCCGCTCCTTCTTTCTTCTTTCTCACTTCCTTCTTCCTCTCATCAGTTGTCCTCCGCTTGGGTTAGAAAACCGTTGAGAGTGTCAGATTCAGATAGCTTTGGAATGACTAATAATATAAACGCCAGACCCATGTGGTGGGCACTGCGCAAGCAGGCAGCCCCCCCAGCCAGCTCCAAGAAAAAGAAAAGAAGATGATCAGTAACCAAAAAAAAAAAAAAAGCAAACATGCATGGTTTGGAGGACAAACGGATTTTGTAGTCTCCCAAGGGATCTTCTTCTCCCTCCCCTACATCCCATAATTATTCCTCCTCCCCCAATTTAATGGACTTTGGTCTTCGTAATTTATTCAAAAATCATCAATATATTTCTATTACCCACCCAGTAACAATGTGGCTGCAGCTCAGTTGCAGAAATGGAGGATTCATCCAGAGCTGATCAGAATCTCCATTCTCAAGGGTCCCATTTCATCTCCGGCACCGGCAGGCATCTGATCATGTAATGGAATTTTGTGTGCGGCTGATGAGAAGATTTTGTTAGTGTCTGTCTTTGGTGGGTGGGAACCTGCAGTGAAGAGTGTGGGTCCGGATTCCTGAAGGGTTGGGTGATTATAAGAAATGAATTAATCTTCAGATAAAAGTACTAGCTATAACAGGTTCACAGAATAATGTTAAAGATAGAGTAGTACTAAGCATTGCATGAGATAGGAAAGCTAGGCCTTGGTCCTCGTTGAACAGAGCAACAGGACGTAAGGCGTCGGTCAAATCCAGAGGCGGACATTGGGTCCTACCCTCCACTCACCATCCCCAACCCACCACCACCGGACACGAGATTCGTTCTCTTACACAAGAAAAGGAGAGAAAGAAAGAGAAAGAAACCCAACATGTTCTTAGATGTGAAGGAGACTGAACCAGAGAGAGAGAAGTAAAGAATCAATCCACGCCAACCGTACCCCATCAAAGGCTGACGGCAATGCCGCTTAAAAAAAGCTCAGACAAAAATCTCACTCTCCATTTATTTTCTATTCTTTTGTTTGTGTTCTCTCTGTATATAGACTATATAATATACCATGCTTACTAACAAATTAATAACAAAACCCAAGACTATGTACATTTATATATATTTATAATGTGTGATGTCTGTGTGAGAATGTGGATGGATTGTTCCAATATTAATATATATCCATTCTTCATCAGTTAAACCATGCATTTCTGATGATATATATATATATATATATATAATACAAAGACAAGTAGAAACTAGGCATGGATGCTTCACTAATCATGACGTACACCAACTAATATTGGGCCCCACTTAGAAACCTGACACCCTATCAGAACAATCAATACCGTCTGATCATAAGGGGTATATCAGAGTGAAGATTAGTGGGGTCCTCTTGATCTTGTTGATTTTTGTGGGGCCTTAACACCCTTTCAGGGACAAGTAGTGACTACTAAAATAAAATAAGTACAGTAACATAATAAACGGCAACCGAGGGTGTGATTGGAGATGACTTGGGTGCGTCCATGTTAACCCCATTTACATGCAATATAATTGGTGGAGCCTGACTCGACAATATGCATGGATGACAGATCTCTATCAGTAGGATTAGCAAATCCCCTCGTCCTGTTAGGCCGGTCCCAGTGTATACATATATAAGGACCATTTTAGGCCGGTCCCCAGCATCTGAAGTCTGAACCGACCACAAGGATGATGGGCCTTGAGTTTAGCTCGTAGTAGGTTTCAATGTAGAGGGAATGAGAACAACCCAACAACTAATGGGCCCTCAGCTGGACCGGCCGAGCATTCGTCCAGGCTCCAATCAAATGACTGGCCTAAAATCTGCATTGGCTGCAGTTGATAGCTAACGTGGGGCATTGTTATTGGTTAGACTTAAAAGCATTCACCAAGTGCAGCTTATTAAAGGGCTGGGCCATTGTATCTGTACTTGTAAGTGAAGCTAAAGGATAATTGTTGTGCAAGGTGGCTTGGCGTGATTGGAACAGGTCGGAGTTGTGGAGATGGCACCGGCGTTATGGGCCTAGAGATAGAGAATCTTGGGCTCGCATCCCTTCACAATAAACAGTGGACTGTTGCTCATGGAATTTTCATAGCGACTGCTTGTTCTGTGGGCCCCTACAATGCTAGGGAACGTTTCAGAAATATTCAATTCAACTTTGCTACCTCTTAGAGAGAGAAAGAGAGATTCTCTCCTCTATTATGTGTTTATTTTACTATTTTCTTCATTCTTGGAATATCTTACTAGTGTAAACTTGGATGGGCACTAAAACCTGCTAATTAATTAAATAGACCAAACCCTTTTCTCTTCTCTCTGTCTCTGTCTCTCTCTCAATGAGTGTGAGGAGAGGTCATATTTATATTGATATGACATAATTTATAATTGAAACAATACTTCAATGTTATTGAGTATGGTGTGGATGGGATGACTCATGACTTGGTTGTGACTAAGATAAAATTTATATATGCATCATCATACAAATTGAATATCGAGTCCGTTCACATTGCCAATGCTAACCATTTATGTGATTCATCCATGTGATAAGCCAAAATTTTCTGTTTATTTTTTTTTTTACCTCTGATATTTTATTAGTTATATTACTCATGACCAGTTCAATACAACCAATGCTTTAATCGGGTCGGATCTAGCTACATCCGATCTGATCCAATTACCAAAACATTAAATTCGTATCCAATCCAAATTCTATATCGAACCAAAATTGGATTTAATTTGAGTCCAATTTATTGTGTTTAAAATTAAAAAAATAAAATAATTACTTTTTAATTCATATATAAATATTAAATATTAAATCTGTTAATTCTAAACTTCATACAATTATTATATATAATAAATTTATCTTTTTGTCAATCCTATTGGACAGAATTAAATCTATATCCAATTCATTATTTGCAACTTCTAACATCTAAATTTTAAATTTATATAAATACAAAATATTAAATTTATTAGTCAAAAACTTTTTTAAAATCCCACGGCAGCCCTACTATAGTCTGTAGGTTTTGTTATTACTCGGGCAATGTTTGGTATTGATGTCATTGCTCCAAAAAACGGTGATACATCCGCATCACGTTGGAAAAATTAGTTTCCAAAAAACGGTAATATGTTTGGAACCATTTTTCCATAAAAATGGTGCTCTAAACCATGTCTTGAAAATCAAGAAGGTGTGGTCTAGGGAAACGTAGAATTCAACGTTTTCTCAATTTGGAGCTCATTGTTGCCAACAAGGACATGATGTGGCAGTGATGTGGACTTTCTATAATGGGTACCCATGCTTAAAACAAATATGAAGCACTGGTATCAAACAAAATGTGTTGTTGTTGCTATAGGAAACGTCCAACTGGCAGCAATGTTTCAAAAAAAAAAAAGACATTGTTTCTTCAAAAAACGGTGCTTCAGAAAACGATGCTGCTGATATATGGGTTGGAAGCATCGTTTTCTGAAAAAATGATGTTTTTTTCCTTTTTGTTTGGAATCGTTGCTACCTGATAAGACATTTCTTGGAGCAACAACAACGTTTTTTCTTTGGTACCAATACTCCAAGAAACATTTTCAGCACTGATATCCATTATCTAGTGCCACATCACTACCATCTCATATCTCTATTGACAATAACTAGTTACAATTTCAAGAAACGCCAAATTTAACATGTTTATAGGTATGACTTAGAACACCGTTTTTTATAAAAAAAAAAACGATTTCAAACAGACACCCGTTTCTTAAAACATCGTTTTTTCCGATATGACATTGATGTAGCATCGTTTATGGAGGAAAGGCAACGATGGCAAACAGACGCATAATCGATCACCTTTGACATATACGTACGAAAAAATAGATCAAAAGCTGTCTGCAGCATTAGCTAATGATCCCTGGTGTTTTCATCCATGGAAATTGCGGGTGAATGAAAACATAAATAGAAATGGCGCACCGATTCAATATAAATTGACAGTTTGAGTTGTCAAGTCAGAGAATGCCACGTGTATTTAAAAAAATTGTATTACCAGGATTGCCCATTTGTCATTAATATGGAATCATTGGATTGAACCCTTTTAAGAGATTGATTGATTGATAGAACATGCTGACGGTGATGAGATTGGCTTAGGCTCACTTTGGGCTCTGTTGATACTTGAGACAAGCCTAGAATAATGAGTTCAGGCTCGGGTTTGGCTGATTCGTGTGTTTGGAAGCGTGAGCGTATTAAATAAACGCTGCCACGTAGGTATTATTTCAGCATTTCCCTTATTATTCCGATTAGTATGTATAGAGAATTAGGAAAGTAAGCGTCCGAAAATTTTATTTTAG